AAATCTCTATTTGTAAGGATGTCTTCCTTCCTGTATCGAGAAGAGGATGACTAAATCTCTAGAAACTTATCAAATGGAGAAGGCTAGGACTTAAATCTGCATAACAACCTTAACTCTTATCTACTATGATTTTCCTGGTAACCTCCTATAACTGGCTCTGCAAATCCAACATCCTCTTTTGCCTTTAGCTGGAGATGGCATTTAAGTTGATGGTTTTGGCTATTTTGCAGAGTTACTCAGTTTTCCTGGGGTCTCTCCTATGTATACAGAAGGTATACATGTTACTAAACTTTTGATTTTCTCCTGTTAATCTTTTTATTACAGGGATGTCTTAGCCTAGAAGGGTAGAGGAAAAAATATTTTTTCTCCCCCTCAAATGTTAATGTGTATTTATTTATTCATTCACCTGCCTCTAGCTGTTCCTACTAAAGGTTAAATGGTTGTGAAACTTCATGCACTATAGAATTCAAGCAGCTGTTTTAAACTCTTGGACAACTAGTGGTGCCTTACAGCTTGCCGTTGACGAGCTCTAGGGGCAGCTGAGGGTGAGCTGTCTTTGACCATCTGGAGGTTTTAATGTGCTTCATCCATTTCATGCCAACCTGGCTTGCCAGAATTAGGGTCATTGTGCTCTGAGATACTTCAGGATGGCGCTCAGGGGAGCTGGTCTCTGTAGCCTCCAGGGCCTCTCCAGCAGGTGCACTTGCTTTTTCAGTTTGATTCTGTTTTTCTTACCCTCTGTAGGCACTCACAGCAGAACTATTATTACTTACTTGTTACTGCATGTTGCTGATTCATACTCAGAGTAAAAAAAATTCTGTCTTCAACACTCTTCCTTGTCACTTAAGGCATATGTTAACGAAAGACAGATTTTGGCATCCACTCTCCTCTGTAGCTTTGAGGACACAATATCAATACATTATAAATGAAGATGCAACTGTTATTTTACTTCTATTCATATTTATAACTATACCAAAGCCATCCTGCCTGTACCTTTGTGCCTCTTAAATCCCAGACCATATTCCAAGAAATATTTCATGCTTGAATTGGTATTAATGTACATACGTTTTAAATAAAGATGTTTTCACTCATATTTTATTAGTGACATTCCCTGAATTCACATATTTTAGATTACACTAGAGCTGCAACCCTTTGAAGATATTTAAAGGGTTTCCCCCGCCCCTTGCAGTACAGACTCATTTTCTTTTTTAAGTGAGGGGTATACACGTATTGGGTGCTCTGCTTACTTGTAAGGAAGCCAAGTGGAAGGCTGGAGGCCAAAACCTGAAGCAGGTGGAGCAAGAGCAGAATTGAACATATATAGAATGCTGAAAAGAACTGATTGAAAGCTTTTGCTTTGTCATTCCTCTCGCTTCCTTTTCCTCTCTTCCTTCCCCGTTTGTTAATGTGGACAAATGCAACTTACTTATTTTATAGAATCACTGGACCTAGAATGAGCCGTAACCTCGAAGTCTGTCAGGTCCAAACTCCCATCCATTGCTATAATTCTCCACTTGATTCAGATCTCTTTCTTCTCCAGCAGCTTTTTGAGCAGCATTTGAGTCTATCAATTAAAAGTGCACCAATGACACCGCTTCCTGCTCATCGCCACCTCCACGGGATCCTTGGAATCCTTTCAACCAACCCTGCCAGCATGTCTCAGGCTGAGTTTGACAAAGGGGCTGAGGATGGTAAGCACCTCAAGACCAAGCCAGCAGACGATCAGGTGCTGTTCATCTATAGCTGCTACAAACAAGCGACTGTGAGTGACATAAATACAGAATGGCCTGGGATGTTGGACTTCAAAGGCAAGGTCAAGTGGGATGTCTGGAATAAGCTGAAAGGGACTTCCAAGGAAGATGCCATGAAAGCTTACATCAACAAAGTAGAAGAACTAAAGAAAAAATATGGAATGTAGGGACTGGATTAGGCTTCTGGCCATGCATTTCATCTAAACTGACATCATGCCTTGTTTTTCTAATACCGCGGATGAAGTGAAGTAATGAAAATAACAAGTTAACCCTCTTCCTCAACACTGTCCAGGGTACGGCTCGAACAGCTTAGGGGCCGAAATGGTTACAGACTCTGCTGAGTAGTTTTTATCTGTAGATCAATTAAAAGTGCATTTGATACTTTAAAAAAAATATGAGAGTAGAGGTTTTGGAATCAGACAGTTCTGGGTCCAAATTGTGGCTCTACCACTGACTAGTGGTGATATCTTAGGCAAGTTATTCCACATCTCAGAGCCATCATCTTGTTTGTTAAAATGGTTATAACAAAAACTAATTCCTAGGAGTTTGAGGATTAAATTAAGTAATAATGAAGTATATAAAAGTGTAATATATAAAAAAACTTAGCACTCAGATCTAAATTAAGAGTAGCTAAGCAGTTCAACAGGAACTAGGACCCATGCTTCTTGTCTGACTCCAAGGCAACATTTTTCCACAGCATCTTAACTGTCTTTCTCACAAGATCTTATAAAACTACTGTAAAAGTTTCTGGTGATGGAGTACTCCATATGCTGCCTCATTGATTGTAAATGCTGTTATTAATAACAATACCTCACAAGTATTCGGTGCTTTAGAATTTACACTGCACTTTCACAAGTAGGGGAAAATACCCAAGCAACATGTCTGCTAATGACTAATAGAGGCAGGAAGCAGGAGCAGAGCTTCTGAAAGAGGTCTTTTAATGATGCAAATATGAAGTTGGCTGCACTAGTGAGGAGCATAATAAACATTAAAACCAGTTAGAAGTGACCATGTGTGATATATTCAGGCTTCAGAACTTGGCTTTGATGAGTTGAAAAACCACAGGAATCCAGCATAGGAGTTGAGGGGCAAGAATTTAAGTTACCTGTAGTTTAACAGTCTAAACGGTTCAGATGTCCAGGAGGGGCAGCTCTTTGCATATATGGATGACTTTTCATGTATAGAATATAGCTACAACTTAGATTGCATAATGGGAGAAACCTCGACGTGTTCATTATTTAGAGACAAAGCATATGGAACTGAGACAAACAAAGCAAATAAGTTCTCAGAAGTCAAAATTAACTGGGTGTTTCAATACGACAAATGTGTCATACTGAATGCAAAACTTTTAAAAATAGAAACTGTTACCTTGGCTTTCTCACAACCTTCTCAAACAGTTTTTCGTGTGTGAGAATTTTTACATTTGGAAAATGATCAAAAGTGAATTTTTAGAAATGGAGAAAAGTGGAGGGTGCATTTTTAATATAGCATATTTCATTGTTTCTGTATTGTAAGAAGAAGGAACATATTTTTTTCTGTTAGAAAGAAAATGGTCTTTTTGAAATTCAGCTCCCTTGGAAGACAAATTTTTAAATATCAAACTCTGCCTAACTAACTGGTCTTAGCTTTATAAACATAAGTCATAAATTAGAATGTCATGCAGTTACCAAACATTTGAAACTAATACCCAAGCAGATACATTTGTAACACCTCATGATTTCTTAATATTTATAGCTAATATTCCAAATCAGGTCTTTCTCTTTTTTCTCTTTCTGCCCCAAATCTACATTTTATCTAGCAGCACTAAGTAGGGGGTTGATTTGGGTAGGCCAAGGGAGAGAAAGACTGACCATACAAGCTTGAGACACTGGTAGAAAAGGCCCGACTGTGCAGCTACGGGGAATAGGGTGTCTGTGCTAGACAGAGCCCAGAGGAGCCCAGTTTGTGTCTCACAATCCAAATTTGGTTGATATATTTTTGAAGTTTCTAAAGGTTAACTACATGCTGTAATACACTATAGAAAGACATGAAGCTGAATTTTACTGTGCCAGTCAAGAGGCTGGCTTGAATTTGCTATTTAGGACTAAGAGAGACAGGACGATTTACATGTGTGAGAATGTGAGAATAATTTTACCTTCTGTTGTTTTTGAAACCACCTTGGGCCATGATTTTTAAATTGAGACACAAGAAGATCTGCTGGGGTTTCCATAGCAACATTAACTTATCTAACTGCCCTTGTTGTATGTAATACTTTCATTACTAGTTTGGCTTTTAAATGTATGCTTTAATTATGAAATACAACTGAGTTAAGAGTCTCAGGCAAATTTAACTTTCACATTTTACTGACTGATGCATGTTTAAATAAACCTTGATACTGTACTTCTGAAGACTTGCTACCAAAGCAAGTGTGTGCAAAAACCTTTATGTGGTCTTCCTTGCCCCTGATCTCTGACTTCACTGTATTCCATTCTACAGATGACACCTCAATCAACTTCTCTAAATACATTTATAACAAGCCATAACTAGGATAAAACAGAAACAAACAAACCTTAGATGGCCTCAGTCCAGAAACTAGAGCCCAGTGGGCCCTCTATTCAAGTCTGTCTACAAGCTGATTCCCTTCCCTATCTTTTCTTCACTATTCTTCGTCATAAACATCCCACACTATATACTCATGTTTTCTTACCAACTTCTGAGAATGTATGTTCAAGGACTAGCCTGAGACTCACTTCCTCCCAGAACCCTGATTCTCCCCACTTCCTTCCCACAGCAATCTCTCTCTCTGTGGAACCGCTGTTACCACTGTGACCACCATGTGACACGTTGTTTGTGACCGGGCATCATCCCTCCCCTCTTCTTCTTCTTTTTTTTTTTGATAACAGTGTCTTGATTTTGCTTTGAAAAATTTTCCTCCATTCCACACATTCTGGTGGTGCCATCAATTAACATGCCCTGCCCCAGCCTGTCAAGAGATAATCCATGACCCAAGTTGGACCAATCACATTCTTCCAGAAAACTGAATTTTAAGTGAAGTCAAAGGAAAAACAGTGGAAATTGTGTAATTCCAATGGCGGTTCTTTCAAGAGAGTGTGTTCATTTCTTCCATATTTCTGTGCCTTGTAATCAAAACCTGCTAGCCGATAAGATCCCTATTTGAGTATTTGTTCATATATCATCTTAACTCTTGATTAGAGGCTTGAGATATGCACATTTTGCTTTTCCAGATAAATACTATTTACGCTCTCTGAAGACAGGGCTGGGTCTTTATTTATTTTATTATTCCATATAAGTCAGCCCAATGTAAGTACCCAATAAATGTTGTGTAACAAATGAAAGACCAATCTTAGAAACTCCATTCTTATAACGTACTATTTGCAAGCCAACTTATATCCTTTTTGAGGCAAGGTTGTAAATAAATTTTTAATTGCTACAATTTAAGAATTTTCTTGGGTATAACAGTTGTCTTAAAGAGAACTTACAACAACTTGTACACCTAATAGTCTGAAAATAATGTTAGCATGGGTCATACTTCCCCAATTTTAGAAAAGGAAAGAGAAACTAAAATCCTATTTCAAACACCAGTTTCTGAATTAAAATAAAAAATTTTTGGAAAACAGACAATAAAACAAAAACAACACACCTTCATCTTGGGCTTATGATTTTCCCTAGAAACAAGGCAAGATGCTTCTCTAACAGATAATAATGGAGGAGAGTTAAATTGTTTTTGACTAATAAATGAATAGTGTAGATGATTTTTTCCACTTCCAAAAAATGGCAGGCAGATTATGGTTCCTCAGAATCATCTGACTTATATCAGTAATTTAATTGAATGCTTAAAAAACTCAAAGAACAAACAAAATGGTTAGACATAATAAACCAAAACAAACTTGATCATATTAAGTTTTGAAAACAGTGAATATGGTGCACTCTTCCATATCATTTACATATGCTTAAAATACACAAAAGGGTTCACCTATAATAAAAAACAGAATTTATAAATTCTCTTCTTCTGATTGTCTTTTCAAAAATGAAAGACTTACAGAAGTCTTTGAATAGTGTGGTCCTCTGGTTTGTACCTTAACGTGGCAAATAGTTCAGCTATGAGAAAAAAGTGAAAATACCAATTTGGAGCTTTTCTGAGTCAACTGTAATGGTTTTTGGAATTTGCCTTGAACCCACACTCGATGCATTATCACTTGTTTTTTCCTATTAACTTGTAAGCGACGATCAACCAGATTTTGCTTCTCGTCTAACCCAGCCTTGCAGAACATGTTGTGGACTTCCCCTGTGGGACAAAAATGGCAATCAAATGTGTGACACATGACTGAGTGGGAGGGCAGTCAATAACATGGAACATTAAATGGAATGACTGACCATCTAAATTTCATTTATACTAAGAAATACTTTCCAGTATAAATTGGTGAAGGAAACATGTGAAACCAAGTGGGTTTCTTTTGCTTCACACAAATACACCAAGTACAAACAGGTTAACACAGCAAGCATAAACAGTATACAACACTATTGGTTATAGCTTTCAGTATTTTGAAAGATGCCCCACTTGAGTTTTTGTTGATTTGAAGAGGTTCCAAATGGCACATTACAATAGTTCTAACATATGTTTGGGGAAATTCCTTGAATACAAGATTCATCTTAAATACTTTTTAAAAATGAAAAGTTGACAAGAGATAAGTAATTTTCTTTCTTTTTTCTTTTTTTTGATAAGTAATTTTGATAAGGACTCAAAATCATATTCCTTCCTTTGGCTGTGGCATATTATCAATTTTTTCATATCTGGACTAACACTATCTCCAAAATGGAACAGACTACAACTTCATTTGGGTATAAGGATAGAACAAGTGATTACTTAAAGCAGTTTTGACTGGAAAAGGATTAGAAGGCAAAAAGGCCATTTTCAAGCTTTTATGTAGAACAGTCACCAAAGTGTGAAGACATCCAATGTTCAATCAACTATTGAGACATAATTTTTAGAGCTTTTGAGTTTGATCTCTGCAAACAATAACCAAAGAGAGTTTTTACAGCTAATTATTTCCTCTTTTAGATAAACATACCTTCTGAAAAGAAATATGCTCTGGTACCATCTCCTCGAACATAAAAATTTTCGGATAAACAATGCCCTGAAAAAAAAAAATTATGAGAAGAGAAATTTAGTGTTCCTTAAAAAAAACCTTGACATGAAATTTAAATGAGACATTCTTTAAAATGCAGGAAAATAATTCCAAACTGAATATACTATTACCCCTTTTAAAACGAAGCTGAGTCTTGTCATATCTTCCATAGTCCCGAAATAATAGCATTCCCCCAGGTTTCAGTAACTTGAACAGTCGGTTTACAACACCTTGCATCCTTTGAAAACAGAGCAAGATACTTTTTGCAGAAATAGTTTTATATGACACATTTAACATTCTTAAAGATAAAATAAGAAAAGCTCAATAAGGACAAAGAAATCTAAGCCACAAAAATAAGGGGAACAAAAACAAAAGTAGTTTGTATAGAAAGAAAAAGGACACCAATTTGCTAAATTCAAAAGACCTGGAGTATTAAGAAATCATCCAAATGACCAGAGTGTATGATGTCAATGAGCTTGACGTATGATGTCAAAGGTAAACTGCAAAACCACCTAGACATTTTCTGATATTTATAGCAAAGTAAGGTAGTTCCAAAAATGAAAGTTGCTTCATTTTCCTTGCATGATAAAAAATATACCAAAGCCATTCCAAATTGTATATGTCTAAACAGGGATCATCTGCCTGCCAAAAAGCTCCTTTTATCCTGACTTATTTAATTCAAAGGTACCATCATTCACCAAAGTGTAACATTTCAGAGACATCATTAACCCCTTTTATTTTTCTCCCATTATTCTCTCCACAACCATTTGGTCATCAAATTCTATGACTTCTTTTTTTAATGACATCTTTGATATTTTGTCTCTCGTTTCCCATTGGTACTCCCTTACTACAAACCGCTACTTCCTCAGGCCTCGAAACAGAATAGCTTCCTAACATGCTTTATTATTCTCCCTGTCAATTCTTTCTGCATATTATTGATAAATTATTCTGCTTAAAATGATGGTTTTCTCACATCATTGCTTTGCTCATAAATGTTCATAGTTTTAATCCATAGGATAAAATCTGAATTTAATTGAGCCCTTAAGATCTCCTACAACTGACCTCAATTAATCTTTCCAACCTCTTTCCTATTACTTCCTAATGTGAAGTATCAACTCTAGCCAAACCGTTATATGTTTGGCTCTGAGCAGTCCATGCCTTTGTTCATGTGTTTTCTCCTCAAAGAATTCTCTCTTCCTTACTCTTTGCCTATTTAAATTCTATTCACACTGCAAGTCCCAGCTCAATACTGGGAAGCTGCTACTTTCTTTCTTTTATTATTTATTCTACTCAGCTGGTTCCCCATCAAATACTACCCCTTGTGACTGCTCTTGACAATGTTTTCGGTTAAGTGTTCATGGCCTTATATATGATTATGGGCAAGAGATGGCAATGATTTCAGATCTTTTATCAATGTCCAGTGATTGACATTGGCTGATCACAGAGCTCTATTGAGAAAGATTCTTAGGGTTCATTGGGAATGATGATCAGAGTACAAAATCAGTTAATCAATGTCTGCCCTGGGCAAAGACTGGTAAATGGCAGCTAGTGTGCTCAGTCCTTGCCATCTCTGCTTTATCCATGCTACTTAAAGCTTCTGAGATTATCTTATTTTAAAAATGAGGGGTATGGATCAGATAATCTGTAAATTCTTTCCAATTAAAACACTGTTCAATGGGATAATGGGATGAAAATCCAGATTATGTTAGGTTATAAAGGAAGTAGATATTGAGAAAATGAAAGTAAATATGAAAACGAGAGAAATATAACAGGGATGGCATGATTAAATAAAAAGTTCTTTAAAAATCTAGACTGTAAGTGCATGAAAGGGAAAAAGAAAATAATTTTCCCTTGTTTATTTTACTACAGGTTATTTTCACAGTGTGCTTATATCCTTAGGCTTTGGCAATTAAAGAAAACCATAGCTAAACCTTAAAATACTCACTTTCAGAATAAATGTTTTATGTAAGAGAAAAGTCTCTTTCTGCAATTATTATTAAAATAAGCATGAAACAAAAATGCAGAAAAACAAAGAACCAAATACAGTTGACCCTTGAAGAATACAGGTTTGAACTATGTAATTTCACTTATACATGAATTTTTTAAAAATAAATATAGTGGAAATTTTTTTGGAGATTTCCTTGCTACTGTGAAGCAATTGTACTGATTACACTAAACTACCATAAAGCAATCATACTGCTGCTTCTTCACTATCAACACATGAATTGTTATACCTGTAAATAAATATGCATTTTTTCATTATCTGTTCATTTTTGATGTCAAGTGTAATATGTATAATATCTACAGTGTTTTGTGTAATGTAAGACAATATTGATATAGGTACTGACAGACAATTCATCTTGTAAACAGATGATGTAAGCTTATGGTATCGATAAATACAGCATACTATTGTAAATGTATTTTCTCTTATGATTTTTAAAATATTTTTTCTCTAGCTTACTTTATTAGAGGAAGACAGTATAAAGACATATAGTGTACAAGATATGTGTTAACTGTTTATATTATCAGTAAGGCTTCTAGTAGGCTATTAGTAGTTAAGTTTTGGGGGGGTCAAAAGTTACAAGTGGATTTTCAACTATGCATGCAGGGGTGGTGGGGTCAGCACCCTTAACCCCCATGTTGTTCAAAGGTCAAGTGTACTTTAAAATGTAGCCACATCCTTCTGCAAATCCTTTCTTCCTGGCTATCCTTTAACATCTGGGGTTGTGGGTAAAGGCAAGGGGTGGGGAGCTGCTTTTCTTGATCATCTCGTCTTGGCTCAAAATGCAGTTCCAAAACCAGTTCCTGAGAACTACAGGTGGGGGTGGGCTGGGAGTGAGATGGACAAGACAAGAATGGGAAAAAGCCCCTTTTCTTTCTTTATCTGACTTGGGCCAACTCTGCTATCCTCACCTATCTCTAAATAGAGAGAGAAGAGAAGGAAAAAACGAGATTTAAAAAATGAGTATTTATGGACAGCCTACTCTATGCTTGGATCTGTGGTAAACATATTATATTTTGCTTAATTTAATAACAAGAAGGACAATTAGCTCTTCTTTTGTAGCCCCCTATAGTTTATTCCTATTTAAGCTGAGAACTGCCCCCCACCACCACTACCACCAGACTCAAGGTCTAGCTGAATCATCTGCTGTTCATTTGTGCATGGATTTTCCAAGCTGGCAAGAAGTCACTCTTCTAGAACTTTCCTGGGGCTGAATCTACTATGACAGTCCTAAATCGCCCTAAAGATACTGCCTTGCTGTTTCACTCAGTACTGCCCTCCTTCTACTCATTCACTTTATTTTTAGATCATTTCCATGTAGGTAAGAAAGTGGCTATTGACATGATACATCTAAATTTATTTTATAGTAAATAAGTAGAATGAACATACTAGACTATAAAAGCAAACTTCCTGACATCTGCTTCCTCTTCTCTTTAACATTCAATTCAAATCATGAGAAAATACATTATCTTAACTAATTTTGAATAGTCTTTTTGTGGTCTTATTTGGAATTTAAACATTTCCTGTTATGGGTGTCAAATAGCAAGTCTTGCTCTCTATCCACCTACTCTGTCCTCTAACTATTCATCCTTTTAACTATGAAACGAAATACATAGACAGCATCTTTCTACCAGTACCCAAATAATGCCAATAGTCTAAACAGATTAGCAGAAAGAAATAGATTATCGAAACTAGGAGGAAAACATAGCTTTGTGGAATCTTATATATCTCATCAGGTGCAAATATATCTTTCATTCAGATTTATTTGGAAATCAAATTTGTTTTTCTACAAGTAATCAAAGTGCTTATCTCTGAATGAGAAGTAAAAGGACTGTAATGGGTCCTAGTGACCTTGTAATTGCAGAAAAAGAAGCACATGGCAACTCAGTTTATTTGGGAAAGGGTCACACTCATCAAACAAAAAGTGGTTGATGCCAAGTCTCTATCTACTGACAGAGGCTCTTTCCTGGAGCTGAATCTACCACCACAGCAGAAAACTTAATTTTAAGAAAGCTTACAAGGTACGACCCGCTACACCATACATATGCCTTAATACATATGCGTTGGGAGAATTCTAAGAAAAGTGACCACTTTAATTGCTGGTAATATCTTTTTATGCTTCCTCTTTGGAGAAAAGCTATGGTTATTGTTTCAAAACGCTGTGTGTGAACAGAAAAATTTAAGTCATAAACATTTAAATAATGGTACTAGGCCAACCTTAGATTATAAAGGTTCTATGTTAATCTGGTAAATCTTAATAACCCCTAATCCCCTAGTGGGCTTCTTTAAAATAACTTTTAAAGCCCCTTGACAGACCTGTGTGAAGTCAAACAGATTCACAGCCTACCTCTTCATGAACATTAGGTAAAATGCTAAATCAGAGATGTTTGTTTCTGATCACCAAGTACAATCTTCCTCTTGGGAGTCTATTAGGCTCTTCTGAATTTGTAATTTCCCTGAAGCACTGTCACTTTTAATGGGTATGTATCTTGCCAGAATATGCTCACTTCATTCTGACAGTGACAGAGAGCTCACTAATGAAGTAGTATGACCAGTTTCTTTCTGAAAGTCTGAAGAAAAGAAACACTGCATTTAAAAGGCTGCATATTATACATAATATAGTTCACTAAATAATAAATTCAAGAATTGTCATTTTTGCTTTGATAGTTCTAAAAACTACTACCGATAAAGGGGCTTTACACATTTGCTTTGCCCTTTTGTCTTTATTCACCTGTCAGGATGAATAGAGGAGAGCACAAAGACAAGAAGAATGACATCTAGGATCCCATCTGGAAAAGGGTAGGGTGAGCCATCATCACAAACATCATGAACAAAGGCACAACACTGGGCTGCTCTGTAGGATGAGTGCGACTGTCATGATAAAGGAATAAAAAGAAGAAGAAAAAAAGTAGTTAGCAGACTTCTAGTATTTTCCTTAAAACAAAAAGGTCATTTTTTTTTTTTTTACTTTTCTCAAGTGCCTTTCCTCTATAAATTTGAATGCACTTTATTTTTGATTCGGTATTCTGTCAGCTTATTTCAAAAGCTGCTATAAAAAAAATTAAGTCTAACACTTGGTCTTGATAACAAATATTCTTTGCAATCCCTCTTTAATTTTAAAAGCGGAGTAGGGCAGTCTTTATGAGTCAGTAGGCAGTGCTGTTGGAACCCTAGCCTGTGTTACATCAGAGGCACTGAGCTGCTCCTCAGCTCTCTCTCGCTGCTTGTTCGATGCCGCCTTTGGCTTCAAATATAAATATCTTATACTACATAATCAAAATTAGATAATGGTGATGGTTGCACAACTCTGTGAATATACTAAAAAAAATCACTGAACCATATACTCTAAAACAGTGAATTTTATGGTATATAAACTATATCTCAATAAAACTGTTATTTTTTTAATTGCATTACAGCACACACACACACACACACACACACACACACACACACACACACACACACGCAATCTGTCTACAAAAACAATATTAGAAGGATATACACCAAAATATTAACATTGATTCACCCTGGGACTTTAGGAAGTGTAATTATAGGTGAATTTTATTTCAGTACTTTAGAAAATGTCTACAATGAGTAACTACTACTCATATTATCAGAAATTATGATACACATTTTTACTATACATTTTTGTTAGAATTTCCTTTCCTTTTCCATTTCCTAACATTACCTCTCTTGCTAAAGTTATGCTGACTAGCATCTGAGGACTGGTCACTCAGGTTCCCCACTGTTTCCTTTGCATTTTAGGATATTTTAGTTTTGCGATATATGTCTTTTTAGATCATTTAAAACGTTATTTTTAAAACTTAATGAGTTCCTACTATGTGCCAGAATATGTGTATGACTCTAGGGACATAAATATGAAAAAGATCACCTTGTAGAAGCTGTTGGCCTTTCTAGGTGTACCAATCCTTTCAACTCTGTTAAATTCAAAACAATTTTTTTTAGGGTCATATCTTAAACATTAGTTGATGGCATGATTCCAAGAATAGTAAAAGCCCAGTTAAAAATGGTCACAGATAATATTTGATGAAGAAACATTTCAAAAAAACAAAACAAAACAAAACAAAAAAACACTTCAACAGCAAATAAATCATATTCTTATATGGTTCTCTTTAAAAAAAACGTAAGGCTTACCTTTACCAGCTCCACAGCTCCAGAAGCAAAATCACAACAATAAAGAAAGGACTCTGGAGCATTCCTATGAAAATGAAAGAAATATTTAAATCTAGAACCTGGAAATGCTCAGACTGCCAAAGAAAGGAAACTGTAGGCTTGAACAAGTTAATAAGTACTTCCCTAAAAAGAAATTTGGACGACACTTGGCATGTCATTTCTTCTTTATAGGTATTGTTCTCTATAGTGGTATATGGCTGGCCTTTGTGCTGCTACTGAATCAGCATTGTCTCAAATGCTTATCTTTAATTACAGGGTAACTTTCAAATTCCTGTCCTGGTTTTAAGGCTCTCTACTACTAGGGCCTACCTGCCTTATATCCCATCCTACTCTCATATGAGAAAGCTCCAAGGTCATCCATCAGCACTGCTTCATCCTCCTCCTGCCCCTCATAGG